ACAAACAAACTATACACGCGGGCGGTTGGCGGGTACTCTCGTATGGTTTGCCCCTTCTTTCCTATCAAACATCTTTCGTCCTTATCTCTCCTTCTTTTTTGTGTTTGTTACTCTCCCTGTAACGCTTCTAATCTTCGGCATTGATGTGACCTTATTGCGTTGCGAGTGCCGTAAAACTTACTAAAAGTAAAACAAAACACTTGGCGTTCTTTAAGTGGGCGGACGGTTGGATCCCTTCAGTTACGGAAGAAGCTCGCCTTCACTACGGGTCGCACCATCAGCTCTGTTGGTTTCATGCCGTTCTATTGTGCTGATGGTCGTGGTTCAAATGGCCAATGGGGGTGTTCTTTAGCATGGTTTGTTTAGGGGTTTTTTTCAAGGTTCTATGTCCCACTTGGTTCGGTCCTCTCGGAGATGGAAGTTAAATTCGAAAGTCTCGCTTCTTGAATGTTGATGTAGAAGTTTTGCGCTTTTTCGTCGCTCGCAAAAGAACCGAGTTCGATTCCCGTGTGGTGATCATTTTTATCGAGTTTTGTTTAAGTTGGCCCTGACAGGTAGGGTCGAAGCGCGCTCCCAAGTGATGTAAATTCTATCGAAGAGGGCATAATAAAACACCTACGTTTAAAAACAACATTGTTCCTTTCCATGTGGCCCATTTCCTTCTCTGGCCCCACATACAACTTTGCTATTTCCCTTCCTTCAGGTTGACATGCTCTCCTCAAATTTATTCTTTTTCACAATGTTGTTGTTGTTGCGGTTTTTTCGGTTGTTGCTTCGTGTATGTTTACTGTTGCTGTGGCTGTTGCCGTGCTTGTATGACACAGAATATGGAAATTCTTTCGTCTGGTTTTACAACTTACGGTTTTTTTCTCTGTCGTTTCAGATCTGTCTTTAATATGGAACAACCTGGGTCGGCTAAAGGCAGAGGTGAGTAGTGTCTTGTTTTCCCTGTCCGTCTCCTTGTCTTACGTGCTGAAGACAGCCGAGTAGGTCTAGATAATAAATAAATCAGTGTCTTTCACAGCTGCCGAAAAAAAACACGTACATGAGTGTCTCGTAAAAACAAGACAAACAAAAACAAACAAACAAACAAACACATTAAAAAAGGAGTCATGAACTTGAATGTCATGTGAAGCTACCAAGAAAACAATTATGTAAATCACAGTGGTATCTTGAATAGCTCCAGATAAAACGGTAATTGTAAACTGATAATATCATGTTGAGGGGACGAGAAAACAGGCGCTCAAAAGAGTTGTTTTGAAGGGCTTCACAAACGGCCGTGTTGTATGTAGAAATGTCCGTTGTTGGGCGACCAGAGGGGACAGACATGAAGACCTGTGTCGCGAAGAGCTGCTGGCGAGGTGCTGTGAATGGAGGGCTACACGACAGTTAGGTCAGGGGGAGTCGTAAAATGGTTGTATGAAAGCACTCGTTTTCTCGTCCCTGTTTTGTGGGAGCGATTTATGTCCCTTGTAAATTGTTTGGACTGTCGTTGGCGCGCACAATGCCTATCTGTATTTAATTACGCGGCCTGCGTATTTAGTGTGATACAGGCTAGTCCAAAAGCTTCTATGTGGCGGGTGAAATGAGCTCGTTATAGGGCGTATTGAACTTACGTGTGGCTGTACCTCGGTATGCAAACGTCTGGAGTGGCTAGTAGGACTCTTCTATAAATAGCAATATTATGTCCTGGTCTGAGCCCCGAGTGTCTTTGTATGAGATTAAACAGCGGGAAGCGGGTGGTTGGAGGGCACCACTGGTGGCTTCTACTTCTTTACTTTCCCTCTGTTGTTTCTGTGTGTCAGTCTTACTCCCCCCCCCCCAGCACTGAAAGACCACTGTAATGTCGATGTGCTTCCCTTTACTCAATCAGAGAAAGGGATATGCTTTCTTTATATCCCTCTCTATTGTTTTCTTTAAGATACGTTGCTATGCATTTATTTCTTTTTAAAATTTTATTTCCTGTCTTTTGTTCCTATGTGCCAGGTTCACGTGTACTTTTTTGTCCTTTCTGTTTAAAAAAAATAAAAAAATCTGCTGTACCCCTCGGGGCAGTGCCACTGACTGAAGTGTCTTTAGGCCATTCCCAAAGGGGGGACATTTCTCGTTCAAGCACAGTAGAATTGTAAATGGGCTGATTCATGTCAGGCTCATAACTGTGCCTGATCTACAACAGGGAACTGCTGCTTTTTCCCCCCTGATCCTTACTATTGTCATTTTCCTCTACTTTTTTGTATGTTTGCCACTCTCTTGTGACCTGCTATTTTGGGGTGCCTTGATAGTCGAAGCAGACCTTGTGCTGTTGAAGCTAGAGAGGTGAGCAGTCTAAGGCTAGGGACACGGTGACACGGACAGGGACAGTCAGTTGCTGTCACAGCAACACATCAAAAAGCGTACACGCCAAAACCGCTCATGATTTCTTTTAAAACCACCAACCCGGCTATGTTGAACACGGATAGGCACAGACAGCAACAGCCAGCGACAGTCAGGAATATTCGAAAAGTGCGTGCACTACTTCTCCTGTCTGTCTGTTTCAAGGGAGTTAAATAAAGATACGATCACAGTGATTGTTCTTGTCAAGATGGAGGATTTTGAAGAGAAACTGATCATTGCGGTGCAAGAAAGGCCAGCAATTTATGACAAGAGCGAAAAACATCACGCTAATCGTGATTATATATTGTGGCAAAAGGAGAGCCTTAATCGTGTTGCGAGTATCCTAGTATTTAAGTGGCAGTGTAGAATAAACAATTAAGAGCTGTGGGAAATGACAGGACAAAAGAATATAGAAGTAGAAATAGGACTAAAAAAAGTGGCGATGCGGAAACATCACAAGGCAGTTGCTGCAGTGGAACCCACAGGGAGCACGAGGCAGGGGTAGGCCACGGGAAACATGGAGGAGATGTGTGGAAAGGGACATGAGAGAGATGAAGCTCACTTGGCATGAGCTAGAAAGGATGGCCCAGGACAGAGATAAATGGAAGGAGCCTATATGTGGCCTATACCATGCCAGGGGTGAAAGGCATTGATGATGATGATGTAGTCGTGTCGCAAAAAATACACTTCAGCAGCAAGAAAACAAGTACAGGACCTGCTTTTCGTGTAAGAAAAGATTTTGAAAACCATAGGCAAATCAAGTTCCAAATTCGCTACTTACAACAGCAAACATGTCTGCAAAATAACTTACTGACAGAGGGCCCTCTAAAATTACCCTAGAGGCAAATCCAAAAGCAAAAGTACTGTAATAGCGTGGTATTGTTGAACATTTGGTATAATAATTTACGCACCTAAAATGCACTTTTACCAAAAATACTACTTGTAAAGTCTCTTGCTGCCTGTTTGAAGGTGGTCACATTCAAACAGGCAGCAAGAGACAGCAACATTGTCCATCATGGCGCTGACAAAGAAGAAACTTTTATTATTATTGTGGTTACGAAGGAAATTAAGACGTTCACGAATTTCTCACCGAAGATATGCGGTTCATCCTATTAACAAAACGCGTTTAGTAAAGAGAATATCACCATTTCCTCCCACAGCTTGTGAATGATGAGGAAAAATTCGTTGAATATTTTCGAATGCAGCCTTCAACATTCAGAAATCTTCTAGATCTGTGTGAGGAAGATTTGACAAAGATGGCAACCAATGGTCTCCCACTGCTTCAATATATAAACACGATTAGCGTGACGTTTTTCGCTCTTGTCATAAATTGCTGACCTTTCTTGCACCGCAATGATCAGTTTCTTTTCAAAATCCTCCATCTTGACAAGAACAATCACTGTGATCGTATCTTTATTTAACTCCCTTGAAACAGACAGACAGGAGAAGTAGTGCACGCACTTTTCGGATTTTCCTGACTGTCGCTGGCTGTTGCTGTCTGTGCCTGTCCGTGTTCAACATAGCAGGGTTGGTGGTTTTAAAAGTAATCATGAGCAGTTTTGGCGTGTACGCTTTTTGATGTGTTGCTGTGACAGCAACTGACTGTCCCTGTTCGTGTCACAGTTTCCCTAGCCTTAGTCTGATTCCCTGTAAAGACTTCTCTGTTGACACGCACCCCTTGGCGCTCATATGACCTTATGCAGTTGCGAGCACCGTAAAACCCTCTACTATTAAAAAAGATAATATTTCTGCTGTTTTTCTTTTTTTTATATATTTGTTTGCTCGATTCCATGCTTGTGTAAGTTCACGAGCGGATGCACATCACGTCTTTCTCAAACTTGTTCATCGCCTGTCTTTCCCTCAATTTACCCACAATGCCGTCCGCTGAAGCGTTAATTTGTCCGTTCTTTTCTTCATTCACACTACAATCCTCCCACAAGTCCACCCAATCTACCACTTACGCGTTGGCTTTTCCATCGGTTGGTTCCTCTCCTTCCACCTGATGTCTGTTTCATTCTTTAACCCACTTTCCTATCCATCGTTCCTTCCTTCCATCCGTTTTCCCGTTCACCCGCCCTCCCGCCCATTCGTCCCTCCATCCTCTAAAAACTTATTTTTTCACTTTCACACCCATTCATCCTTCAATAGGCACACTTATTTACCCATTTTTCTTTTTTGCGCTCAAGACCCGAGTTCGATTGCCGAGTGGAGAGAAAATTGTTAAAATTGTTATCGAGTATCTCGGTCTTGCTGCTGACATGTTGTTGTACCTCTCTCAGCCCGGATTGGCCCTGACAGGCAGGTTCGGAAGTTGGCCTCCTGAATGATCTAAATTATGTCGATGAGTCCATAAAACACCTCATCATATTATCATTGCCTCTCTCACCCTGGCTTTCCATCTTTCGCTATCCTGGTCTAGCCTCTTGGTGTTATTCCATGTCTCCCTAGTCTTCTGTACATGTTTGTTCCCCCGAGCTGAGCCGTTTATGTCCAGACTGTATCCAGTGGGTTTCGCTGACTCCTGGTATGTGCAGCCTGTATCTCTTCATCCCATGCCCATAATGGGACACTTGAGAACTCTTCCCTGCTTCACACACGGGGCGAACATAAAGAGCTAATACAAAAACCCCCCACTCTTTCACCCATCTACTCACCAGCCGCCCTGTTTAAACAATCCCACCGTTGTTCTTTCTTTCGTTCAGCTCCGGACAATTGGCCATCGACTGGACGACGCCGGTGAGGACGGTCTGACCCTTCCTGCTCACTATCAACACCAGCAACACCAGTATCATCACCATCACCATCACCATCACCATCATCATCAGCAGCAGCAACAACATCAGCAACATCCCCACCGTTTCCCGGCGTCGTCTTCTCCGTCCCGTGGCCTGGGCGTCATGCCGGGCGTGTCTTCCGTCAGTGACAAGAGCGGACAGGTCAGTGCTTCTTTGGTTTTTGGACTTTTTCGGGCACTTGCAGCACAATGAAGGTCATATAAGTGCCGAAGATTTGAGGTGTTATCAGAGTCATTCTCTTTACTCAAAAAAAGAAAAGCTCTATCATATCCATCTTATTTTCCGTGCTGTCTTTGTTACCACCAGTGCTTCCTTAATCGTTCATGATCTCTGAACAGAACTTTTCTCTTGGTTGTCCTTGTTTACCTTACCGCCTGGGGTCCCTTTGCTGTGTTTTTACTCTCTATTTCTATTCCATTGTTTTACGCTTTCTTTCTGTTCTCCTTGTTTTCGCATTACTTTGTTTTTTCCCTTATATTATGTCTGTTGTCCTGTTTATTTTTTTTTCTTCTATGTTTTCTTTCTTGTGTCTACTACTCTGCATTGTACGCGTTTTTTGTTTGTTTTGTTTTGGGTATTCTTCACTCTTGTCACGTATTTTTCTCTGTTTTGTTCCCTTCTTTTTATCGCTGACTGTTTTCCCTCACCTTTTATTCTTTGTTGTCCATGTTCTGTCTTTGTCTGACGTCCTCCATTTTGTTCTCGTCCTCTTTGTTGTCAGTGTTCTGTCTATAGTCTCCCGTTCTCGATATTGCCTGTGTTCAGTCTATAGTCTCATGTTTTATTTGTTGTCCATGATCTGCAGTGGGTGGTTTGCTCCTTCTTTCCTATCAAATATCTATCGTCCTGATCTTTCCTCCTTCTTTTTATTGTTTGTTACTCTCTTGTAACAACTCTAATCTGCTGGCGCTCATATGACCTCATGCAGTTGCGAGCGCCGTAAAACCTCTACTAAAACTAAACTAACTAACCGATCAATCTATAGTCTTTCATTCTCTATGTTGTCCATGTTCTGTTTGGAGTATAGTCTCACGTTTTCTATTTGTTCCAATCGTCTGTGCTGTCTTTGTTCTGTCTATAGTCTTTCGTACTCAACGTTGCCCATGTTCTGTCTATAGTCTCATGTTTTATGTGTTGTCCATGATCCGTCTATAGTCTGACATTCTCTATGTTGCCCATGTTCTGTATATAGTGTCACGGTTTCTCTGTTTTCCTTGTTCTGTTTGGAGTTTAGTCTCACGTTCTCTATTTGTCTCTGTCGTCTGTGGTGTCCGTGGTCTGTCTATAGTCTGGTATTCTCTATGTTGCCCATGTTCTGTCTATAGTCTGATATTCTCTATGTTGTCCATGTTCTGTCTATAGTCTCTCATTCTCTGTGTTGCCCATGTTCTGTCTATAGTCTCCCATTCTCTGTGTTGCTCATGTTCTGTCTATAGTCTCACGTTCTCTTTGTTTCCCTTGTTCTGTCTATAGTATCACGTTTTCTATGTTGTCCCCGTCCTCTCTGCTGCTGTCCGTGCTGTCACTGTTGAAGCTATCAGCGTTGTGAGTTGGGCGAGTCGCGGGCCAAACTTTTAGCACATAAAGAGTTCCTGTCAGGTGAAAGTTTGGAGAAGGCTGGCATGTTGGCCTTCGCAGGCCTTTCAACGTGTCCGCTCGTAATGCAAGGGGGTGCGTACTCTCAGCGCGGGCTTGCCACATTTCTAGACCTAGAATCGACACTTTTGATTTATTGGCGGCTAAGTGGCCCATGCCTTTCCCCGTGCAATGTTTGCGGCAAGTTGCCCTCTGATCCCAGGAACCGGAGCACGGGTTTCATTATCGGCCGACAACCTCAGCACTTACTGACGGACTGCCAACATTCTCTCTCTCTTTCTCTCTCTCTCTCTCTCTCTCTCTCTCTCTCTCTCTCTCTCTCTT